AAGTTTATTTAAAAAAGCTGATTACTGTTGTGTTGTGCATACTGTAAAGAATTTTTTTTAATGTATTTACAAATTAAGTACAGTTTTCAGTTGATGCTGCAAAATAAATGTTACATAATTGACTTTTGTATTTTCTAAATCTCTTCTTTCCATTTAATTTTGTATTGCTGCATGTTAGTTAAAATCATTATTATATATTGTAGAGAATATCACAATAAAATTGGTAATCAAGGTTACAGTAAAGGCAGTGCTTAATTCATAGTAATTGGCTGTCATCAATGCTGCCACTAATATGGTCTATTTACAGAAATGACTACATGGTACTGTATTTGGATTATGGTGAAATTCCATTGTTAATGTAAAAATAAATATTGTAGCTATACCATAGTATACTGTAATTTCAGTAAGATACAGCATGATACTGTGTTTTAGTATATGGTATTATAACAGTAATACTGTAGAAAAACAGTAAACTACTGGCAACCCTGCTGCCAGTAGTTTACTGTAAAATCAAGAATATACAGAAATCTACTGTAATTCAGTACATGACATTATTACAGTAGTATACTGTAAAATAGATAACAGTAGGTAAACTGTAGAAAAAACAGTAAACTACTGGCAACCCTGCTGCCAGTAGTTTACTGTTTATTTACAGGACAATTGTTTACAATTAAGCCTTTCTGTGTAGAGTTTGCATGTTCTCCCTGTGCCCAGTTTTGTCTGTGTACTCTGGCTTCCTCCCAGAGTCTAACGACGTGCAGGTTAGTTTGACTGGTGACTAAAGTTCCCATAGGTGTGAATGAGAGTGGTTGCATCTCTGTATGTCTCTGCCGGTGCTTTATCGACGAGCTGTCCTATGTGCACCATCTTGCCCAGTGTCAGCTGGGATTGGCTCCAGTCCTACTGCAACCCTCTACAGGATGAACAGTATATGATGGATGGATGCTGGAAACACTGAATGCATTATGTTTTCTACTAGAGTGAAAAGAGAAAAAAACAACAAAGTGCACTGATCTTCATCAATGTTTTCTGCACCATGACTATATGAATAGCTTTGCTTCACAATTGTTCCTGTCATTATCTAACTAATAGAGTTAAGCTGCTCTTGGAAGGTTTTCTAGCTTTTTCTGAACCATTGTTATTTCCACATCATGGGGAAGAAATATTATACTGCAATCTGGTGTTAAACCCCTTTGTTTTAGAGAGCAAAAAGGTGAGAACAAAAAGGTGAGGGCGAAGGATAGTCTGTAATCTGGGGAACAAAGCCATATTATTTCTAAAGTGTTCCTGTTTTGTTCCAAGAAGAAATCCAGATATCTTTCGCAGTCTAATTGCATACAGTGTGAAAGTCACTGTGTAGACGTCCACTAAGCAAGGCAACCGGTCTCATTTGTTTACAGTACCTGCAACAGACATGAGTGTGCAATATGTTTTAAGGATACTGCTCACATGTAAAAGCAAAAGTTTTTCCAGGAAACAGGCCTAAAGATCCTGATGTAGAAATAAAACATCTGAGTCAGATCCCATCTGTAAAACTTTAGGATAAATTAAAAATTTTCACTTGATTTAGATAATAGTCTGGCATATTCCTGCAGGTACTGGGGGCATGTAGTACTGCAGATTCTTCCAGAAGTTTCTGTTTGAGCACCATTTGGTGAGTTTGTTGGTTCCAAGAGAGGTTTGCTTCCATTTCAGAGCTCCTTGTTTCCTCTTGATATAGCGAAGAGACTCTGGCAGGTGGCTGTAATCCACAGGGCCATCTGGTAGAGTAGAATACAGTGTTAAATGTGTTCACATTTTATTTGATCAAATATTCAAAAATATTTAGAAAAAAAAACATATAGCATCTTAGTGTCACTCCTGGCCCTTTGAGATTTTGGTTGTAGTGTAACAAGCTCGAACATTTCTACCCAGGTTTGCAGCTGGTGTGGCCCATTACCAGGACACTATTCTTAAAGGAATAGTTTAAAAAATTTTGGGAAACCACTTTCCCATCTTGGCAAGTCATAATTCCAGCCTCAGTTATGTTTGTTCTGCCACTGCCTTCACCCTGTCCTCTCATTTCCCTAGACCTTCCCTGCCCACTCACAGGCCTGTTCCCAGTTTCTTCATTACTTTTCCCACTATTTAATTCCACCTTCTTGCAGCTAGACTGTCATGTTCTTCATGTTTGCTGTGGAGATCTGATATCTGTCTTCCTTTTTGTTCCCACCTCAATGTATGTTAATGTAACTGCACCTGCTTCTGTGCCTGCAGCTGGGGAAGCAGTTAGAATATGAATGAATGTCACTTTCAACATTTTCCCATTTAGGGGTCGCCACAGCGAATCGTCACACTGATGATTCGCATGTTGACATTTGGCATGTGTTTTATGCCGGATGCCCTTCCTGACGCAACCCTGATTTGAACCTCCGCTGCAGCGGTGAAAGCGCTGCGCCTTAACCACTAGGGGGAAGCAGTTAGAAAACCACAGTATTTCTTGGCTCTGAGAAGTTTCTAGGCAATCAGTATACTGCATGCACATTCTCTGTGTGGCATACAGTTAAAAATAGGTAAAAGATTCTGTAAAATGAATAAAGCATACTGCAGATGATTACAGTGCCCCTCCATATAGTACATGACTTCTGGTTTAAAAACCATTGTTGCTAAGCTATAACTACCACCCTAGTCTTGATTTGCTGTCAGCTATCAGACTGGTAAGAGTGACCACCAACTAAAGATGGACAAGGGTGGCTAGGGAGTGAATGCAGTGCTTCCATCCTTTTGGAGAGTTGCTCTGACCCATATGGGATCCACATTGCAGCTATAAGCTACTATATTAAACCTTATTGTAAACAAAACCTTTCTGTGAGCTCTCAGGTAATTTTTCCTTGTTGACTGGAAGTTCACATTCATTTATGGGACACTGATGAAAGTTCACTTAACAACTTCTAGGGAGTTCATGAACAGCCATTTACTACATGAAGACTCTCAGAATCTATCCTCACCGATTTCCACCAGAATCACACGAGGGTCGGTTTGGGTCAGTGAGTCGTAAAGGCCAACTCTGTGCTCATAGCATAGCTGGTTTTGGTCACCATATAAGGACAACACTTCTTCTGTTTTGCCATCAGTGGAGGCTATTTCCTGTCTTGACAGTATGATTATCAGTCTGCGACACTGGCGCACTGTAGCAGCAATGACATCATGCATCGCTGTAAGAGATCAAACATAGGAAACGAAACAAGTGATAAAGGCTAGATATGTCTTTGTGTTATCCAGTGACTGACTTCCTGAAACCCATGGCCTACAAACTCTCTGTGTTTAAACTACAAATGACTATTTTCAAGGTATAATATAAGATTTTAGGCAAACTTCTTCAAGGCAGCCATTTTTTCCAGTTCTAGACATCCAATTGTTTTAATTTCACAATAAGCAATGTGTGGAATTAAACAGCACATCAACTTCATTTATTTTGTCAGTGTTAAAAACCAGTTCACCCAGCTTACAAGAAGACATCTTCTAGGGCCTGTGGAATATCCTGAGCAACAATGATATCCACTGTTTGGCACATTTAGTTGTATATTGTTAACTCAGCTAACTGCAGTGATCTGTAATGCAACCATGTAGTGCATGGGAGCCAACACAAAGTAGAAGATGAACATGTCAACTATGTATATGCAAAAAGTTTATAAGGCAATGTAGTCACCACCCATAATCAGACCACAGGGATGCTTAAATGTAAACATGACTGTGTTTCCAAGTACACTCCACAAGGTACCTCTATTTCACCTTTAAATATAAACCAGGTGTCAGTTTCTGACCTTCTCCGGGGCAGTCATCCCGTCCTCTGATGTATAGAGTGTAACCATGTTTTTTCTCCAGCTCCTCAGGCAGGATCTGCAGAGCAAAGTCTGCTGTCTCAGCATTACTCATGCTGTTGGGATGGAGGAAGCTGACGTAGCCGTCATAGAGCTTACCATCCGGAGCTGTGGAGGAGACAGCACTGTCACCATAATCTGTAATCTGTCTCTTTAAATCTTTCTGGTTATGTTTGCTGTTGAATTTGTTGAGTATTTATTCCAAAATGCTGACACCTGTTCTCAGTCGGCTGACTGGCAAACAAGTTTCAGTTTTGTCACTAAAGCAAACGAGAATTCCTAGCAATACCTGACATTTGATTACACGGAATAGCGTACCTCCTACAGATAAAACTCTGACCTTGTTTTTTGGAAAAGTGTCTTGACAGTTTCCTGTAAGCCAACACCAGATCTACTCTAAACAGGAGGAAGGCAGGAGCCAGGGCAAGAATAGCCAAGGAGGCAGTGAGGCAGAGAGCTACAGTGGTGTAGATGGCACTGTGGTCATCTGGAGAGAGGAAGAGACAGACAAATTCAAATCTGTAGCTTGAGACTTGTAAACTTAGAAACAAAATTAGAATAAACAAGTACTTTTCAAAGATTTTTAGGAATGATCTATCCTGTGGGACCCTTTTTAGGCAACTAGCACTAGGCAATTTTCTAGGCAACTTATTTGGTTGTCACAACACAAAGGTAGTTTGTTATAAAATAAAAAGAGAGAGCAGAAAAAAAGATTAGAGTACCTTCTTGAAGCCACACCAAGCCTTGACTTGCTTTGACTGTGCTGCTTATATAGCAATGAATGGGGACATTCAAGAACCAGCGACGGACTTTAGAGATGGACAGAGTGGACAGACCAAACACCCTTCCGTTTGTGTGAATACTAACAGAAAAAGAACCAGTCATTCAATCCATCAGTCTGTCAATGCAATACTGCAGCAGGCAGTTAATATATCAAGCAATAATATTGTGTTTTTATTCTGTTTTGTTTAAAAGCTGCATTTGCAATATTTAGCAACAAATATAAAATATCAAGGGCTGATTGTCAGACTTCTTTAATGGCTGAGAAATGCTGTTTACTGACTTTTACCCTAATGTCGAGCACTTCTGATAAATAAACCAATATCAGATTCCTTTTCCAAGAACTGTTAATGTGATGAATTTGTTTAGTTAACACCCATTTCCATGATCAGGAACAGGCTGAAACAGCATGACAGGAAGCAGAAACTCACTATTCCCAGGAGTCGTTGAGTTCCTCATGGTCCTCCACAATTGTCTCGTTAATAGTCCAGTACATGTTAAAGAAATCATCCTCACTGAAGCCTATGTAGGCTAAACACCTGAGCTTCACTCCAATACCTGGTCATCAAGTGAAATTAAAAAAGAAAGCAACTGTCACTCTACATGTCCTGATGTTGTGATAAGATTGTCACTGTGATGGAAAATTCTTCAATGTCACAGTTAATTGTTACAGAAATTAGTCCAATGAAAACATCTGAAAACAAGGTCTGAAAAAGTCCATCATTTGTTAGAGCCTTTAAATCTGAAGGGTTGACTTCTGACAAATTCAGGCCCAACTGCAAACTGCAATTTTGAAAGGATTTTTGTTGATAGACACAATTGATGGTTGAGAGCAGGGGTGCCCAATATGTCGATCACAAAGGTAGTGTTGGTAGATCGCGTGCCATTCAAAAATAAATTAGATGTATCCAGCGTAAAACACGTGCCAAATGTTAACATGCGAATGGCCAGTGTGACGACTCGCTGTGGCGACCCCTAACGAGAAAAGCAGAAAGTGATATTTATATATAGCCTATCATCCATCCTCCCTATGGCATTTGCTACTTGATTGACATGCAGGGCAGCCAGTCTGAGGTCTTGTCTTTTCTGACACACGAGTCACCAAACATGCACAGTCAACCGTACGAGCTACTGCAAAACTCCAGTGAGCGAACTACCTTGTCAGCCTTCGAATTAAAGGGTATAAAATGAGTGGGGGAGGCAATCAAGTAAGAAACTGGAAACGTACCGAAAATGAGAGGACTTTTTTTTTCATGACGTTATATTCGAAGTGCGTTTAATTGATCTACCAATGTACCATCACTATTCCGAAGAAGGGAAATGTGGCACTTTCAGACCGTTCATAAAAAACTACGACACTCATTCATACATATATTGTGTGTGTGTGTGTGTGTGTGTGTGTGTGCGTGCGCGCGCATAGTATTTTTAGTGTAGGTTGATCATTTTGACTTGGTCATTTGAAAAGTATCTCGCAAGGCAAAAAAGTGTGGGCACCCCTGGTTGAGAGGTTTGAATATGAAAGGCATGCTCGCAGGTGATGATGCATTGTATACTAAACTCAAGCCTGCCCAACATACTGTTTGTGTGTGTCACTGGTAATAATTTGTGACAAAGTGCTACTTGCCCACTTTAACCATGACCACTTCCTCTTGAGGGTACACCAGCTCGGGCTCTGCACGCACTGTGTTTGTAAGGGCTAAAGACACAAAATGAATCATAAATGATTCTTCATTAGAGATTCAATCTGATAACACTTCAGGCTAAAGTGACCTATAGAACCTACCATTGTCAATAGTCAGCTGGATGCTGCGTGCAGCTGTGTAATTCCTGCCATTCAAGTTAATATGTACCAGGCAAGTGTATTTCCCAGCATCCATCTCTGAGACTGGTGGCAGCCTCATGATACCATTCTTATCCACTGAGATGGGCTTCACTAGGCGACAGTCCTGCACAGAAACACAGACTGTGATTATTTACAGCACAATAATAACTACAAACTTTATTTATAGAGCACTTTTCAAAGTGCCTTGCACAAGGCAACAGATTAAAAGCCAACAACAACAAAATTAATTACTTTAAACTGAACCTAGTGGAAAGTTTTAAAAGGTTAACCAATAGTAAAATAAAACAAAAATAGAATATAAAAATTTTATTTAAATCAGGATAAGCTGGTAACACTTTTTTCATCTTTCTATTTAGCATTAATAAGCAGTATATCCACATTTAGTAAATTATTTATAAACCATTATAATGTCATTGTAAGAAGATACTGTATGTGTTTATTAAGGTATTTGTAAATAACTGTAATGCCTCCTGTGGATGCCCATAAGTAGATGTTGGTGTATAAACAGATATCAGATGACAATATAGTAAAGCACTGTACAGTAATAATATAAAATAAGGTTCACAGGAGAAGTTGAACCAGTTAACAAATATTGTGTTTTAATAAACAAATAAAATGTTCACCTATTTATTGTTTTGTTTTTTTTTAAATTTTGTATAAGACTGTGCTCTATTTCAATTGTGAGAAAGAGAGATTTCTTGAAGAACTTAAACTCAAACTAAATGCTATAGGCTCTGTTTTCTGATGCTGTATACAGTCCAGTGTTGACAGGGAGTGGTTTGGTAGAATGGATAATTTGTACCATTATATGGGCCTGCTCCCAGACACAGATGTTTATCTGCAGCAACAACACAAATAGCACTCAGTGGTAACATTAGCAGCAGCTGGAGCAGATGTTTTCTTCAACCTTCACACAATCACACATTCCTGATGTGTACAGTAGGGGGCAGTGCTGCACTGATCAAACAGTGCACAGGACATGCATAAATCACCAACAAACAAATCAGGGTTATGGAATAAATACACACCCCTGCAAAATGAACATTATAAACTGGCCTAGGTTTATGCAGTATCTGCAGCAGGCCCTTCCTATGATTTTAATGATTGTCTCTGTCCACTTGGCTTTTCATTGGGCTCTTTTCCCATGGCAGGGTTTATATTAAACTGCACAAGTGACCACAGTCACAGCATGGTGCTACTCTGTATTCTGTGTCATGATAAAGCACAACAGAGGAGAAAGACACATACATGCAAAAAATTCTGCACATGAACATCATGGTGCTGTTTTACCTTCATCCATTGTATGCTCCTTGTGGTATTCAGTTTGAAAATCTCTGGCTGTTGGCAGGGAAGCGCTCCACTGACTCCCTTGGTGATGGATTTATTCTGAGGTGGCTCAGGACACTCTCCACTGGACACTGACACGCCTAACTTGACTCTCCATAATCCAGTCTTATCCCTAAAAAGAAGGAGATGAATGCTGAGCTGCAGAAAAGGCAAATCCAACTAAAATATGACCTTATACTGTGTGACTCTAGGTGATTTTACATTTTCATTTGTGTGTTTGTGTTTTCATTAATTTATTTTTTAAGCCATTATTATTCTTATAAACTGTTTCCTGAGAAATTATTGGGAAAAAAGAGTTTTGAGAAGGAAAGGATAATTACAGACAACTCTGTCATTCTACTGTTAAAACTATAGTATGTAACTTTTTTTCAAATATTTTAGTTGTACAAAAGGTAAGGTGCATGAAAGGGAAGAAAACACTAAAATAGATTTTGAAGGAACAGTTGAACATGCTGGAAAATACGCCTCTGCTTTTAGTCCAACAGTCCAATGGAAATCATCCGGATGCCTGTGCATTTCATAGAAGACAGAGCTGTAGTTGTAACGTGTTTAGCTAACGCTCAGTAATCAGCTCGTTCTACCGTAAATCATTTGTTTAACTCATACATAAACATATGAGTAAAAATAAAAATTCATGTGTAGGTTTAGGGGGGATTACATGCCAGAACTGACCCTGAGCCTTCCCTTAGTTATGCTGCTATAGGCCTAGGCTGCTGGGGGGCCCCATGATGCTCTGAGTTTCTTTCCCCTCCCCTCCTGCTCTCCTCTCCTCCCCTCTCCTCTCTCTCCCTATGCTTCTATATGCCACCATTACACATCACTAACTTTGTGTCTCCTCTCTCCCGTAGTGTGTCCTCTCTCTCTCTCTCCCTGTACCTTTCTGCAGGTTGCCCTGGCCCTGGAGCTCTACGTCTCTGACAAGCAGTCACCAGCCACATCAACCTGATCAGTGTTTGATTGTTGTGTCATGTTGCTTTTCTTCTTTTGTCTCTCCTCTATCCACTCACCCCAACCGGTCGAGGCAGAAGGCCGTCCACCAAGAGCCGGGGTCTGTCGGAGGTTTCTTCCGTTAAAGGGAGTTTTTCCTCCCCACTGTCGCCAAGTGCTGCTCAAGGGGGATTTGTTGGGTTTTCCCTATGTAATAATATTGATAACAGTAAGGTCTAGACCTTACTCTGTAAAGTGTCCTGAGGTGACTTTTGTTGTGATTTGGCGCTATACAAATAAAATTTGATTTGATTTGATTTGAACTAACAGCTGGGCAAAGCAGGGCCTGATTCATTTGATTTCATTGCTGCAATGCACATGGCAGCTCTTTTCGTTCATCTTTGCTTTTGTTCCTTTTGTTTTTAGCATGTTTGTATGATTTTGGATCTCCCTTGACATAATTTAACATTAAATCATTAAAAGTTTCAGTATGTAACTTAAAATAGCACTAACATGAAACTCCAAATCCACCCAGCACTCCCTCTCCCTGCTCCACTCTGCTCTACTATCCTCTACCACTCTCAAATATTTGTCCTTATGGAATTACAATAAATGAGAATGGAACAAAACTTACTGATCAAGCAGAAAAAACATAAAATCTCTGACTGTTAGACAGGTCAATCCCACTCAAAACCTTTTAGAAGCTAATTTCTCTGCACTGCTGCCATTGCTGTTCAATGAGTCTGGGTCACAGGAGGCTTTGACAAGTTCTGGAGCAGATTTCTACAACTAAAATATTTGAAAAAAAAGCTAAATAGCTGTCAAGGCTCAGGGTCAACTCTGAGACAATTCCACAGGCCTTACTGGGCCCTATACTATCTCTTTTCTCTCCATAAACTTGTTACAATGCTGCCCTCTATTCTTTTACTGTGTACATAAACTGCACATGCACAAGGTTAAATAAAACTATATGTCCTATAAAGTTGATATAAAGGTTATTTATTTAAAATACCATATTTCACATTGCCTTAGACCATCTGGCATTCTGAAGAGATGAAAATAGCCTACTTCATATGGTCACTTTTGAGCTGTTTGTGCAGTCACAATCAGATTCAGTCAAACCTACTTAGGCATACAGGCATTTCTCTACCTTTTTTCACAGGTGTATGTTCCATTATGAGAAGTCTGCACAGGTAGAAACCACAGTAAGCCCTCCCTGACTTCCACTCCAGGGGGCAGGCTCATGTTTTGCCACCGCTCTCTGCTCCAGGTCACACTCGTGTGAGTATCAGCAAGAGGGCACCTCAGCAAAAACAGGCGCCCCACACTCACATGGTAGGTTTCTGTTGCCCCACTGTGGTCTGGATGTGACAGTGCAGAAGGAGACCAGGCATTTGTCATTCAATGCCAGGGTGAAAATTGAACATTAAAAGACCACCAATAGAATTTCTGGAGTAAATGAAAAAGAGTGTAGAAAACAATTATAAAGAAATAAATTAATGGTTTGTCTTATAACTTTTGAATTAGAACATTTCCCTAAAGTGTAACAGTAGATCAGAGGATGGGCATTATGCAACATTGTGTATGATAAAAACACGAGGTATAACCATCTCAAAAGACTGTTAAGAGTAACAACATTCACTACCCATGAAATTATTGTTCGATAGCACAGTAAAATCTGTTCCATCCCTATGTCCAACTCTGAAATGGTGAAGCCCTACAGCATGACCTCTTACAGCCAACCCTGGAAACAGTGGTGACACTGCTGCACACATAGCTATTGTAACACTGCATTCATGCAGAATTGGGAGAAATGGAAACACAAGCCTGCTATTACTGCATAAGCTCAAATGTTACAGCTTGATTTAACCAGTGATAAAAGGTTTAAAAGGATTAATGAAGATATATCTTAAATGTCTTAATGCTTGTTGTTTTTAATGCTGTTACTGTTCTTCCTTGCCTCCATCAACCACTTTGAATGACCTCTGTGTATGAAATGTGCAATATAAATAAAGTTGTGGAAGAAATACTCAGATTGTTTACTTAAGTTTACTGCCTTCACCTAGTTGGTATGGTTTGGCTCTTGCCCGCTGTCGCTGAACTCGTCACAGCACATTTGCATAAAGCTGAGCTTTAGGACCCGGGCTCCTGTTGGCTTTGTATCGCACCACAGGACGCAATGAGCGACAATGTCCGGTTCTCATTAACAATGAACGGGCAGCTGTTGCTGGCTCGGGGGCTTCATCTCCACATGTGTGAATGCTAGTGATGGAGAAACTGATGCTTTCTGAGCCACTGAATCAATATGAAGCAACTGTGTTGCAAGGCCTATGCAAGGGGGATAAGATTTTTATTTAAAGGAGGTTTCTCCAGTTGTTCCTGTACTTCTCCTTGGCCCTTGTGCTGGTTTTAAAAAAGAAACTACTTTTCTAGCTCTTGTGCAGATATCTGCAAGTTCTGCTGTTGCCTCCAGTGCAACACCAGATTTTTAACCACCAAATTTAAACTATGGGCAAAACAAGGTACATTGCATAGCCTGAAAACTTAGCACAAGTAAACATATTTGTGGCATTGTAGTGATGAGACAGTGGATCTTGTTTTTAAGGCCCCATTCATCAATTAGAATTTCCTTGGGGGAATTTAGTAACCTAACAGGATAGATGACAGCTTCAGTTACTCATTTATGTAATGACAGGTGATGCGTCCATATTCACAGATGTCCACATTTCTGTTGTCAAGCTGACCACCACAGTCTTTGCCAGCTCTGCTTTGGCTTTTTTATATTTTGTCTCCACCATGACTCTCATTGCTTGTCTTGTGGGCAGGACACATGTTGGGTCAAGCTTGTTAACAAAGGCTTTAAAGCCTTTATCCTCCACTACATAAATGGCTGGCAGTCCTGCACAGTCATATCTACCAAGGCCTCATCCAGTTCAGCTTGTTGCCCTTTAAATCAGGAAATGTGAATGAGTATGCACACATAACTTTTTAAGAAGTATCATTGTTGTTTTTTATATTACCAATTTTTATTATTGGTCAGTCTTTTTAGTAAACATACATGCCAGCTGTCATAGGCATACCTTGTCCAGTTACTCCAGTTGCAGCAGGAGCAGCCGGATTGGGTGTAGTCTATGGGAGTCTTGATCACAGGTGCCTCAGCACTGACGAAGTGTTGTTGTTAAAGGCCAGTTCTTGAGCACAGATCAGACACTTGACCTTTTTTGGGGTAATAAGGTCAAAGTGCTCCCACACATATGATCTTGCTCTTTTAGGTGGCCCTGCCTCTATTCTCCCTATCTCTCCTTTCCTCACTCTCTCAAACACTCACCACACAGACTATCACACAAACACTTTTTTATGTTTTCACATTCACTTTACACTTTTCTGTATGTGTACTTAATATATAAGTGTGTATGTGTATGTAAGTATGTAATTCCATATGGAGAGTGTTTGAATGTCTATGTGCCAATGTGAGTGTATAACTGTATGGCAGTTTATCTAACCTTATGCTAATCCTACCTAAACCTCACTCTCCCTGGTTGTCAATCAATGAAACTATAGCAATAACGCAAGCAAAAACTCTCCTCCTCTGAAAAAACCCATGAAGTGCAGAGGGACTAAGCCTATGTATAAGCATGGTGAGAGTTTGATAACCCCGCCCTGTATTCAAAGCTGGCACGACACATCACCGTTACGCATGTGACCTCATGAGGCGTCATTTGGGGAGTCTCGCATGTGCTCATGTTGAAGTGAGGCATCGAAACATCTTTTATTATTTTAGCATAATTAATCAAGTTTATAAATTGTAGCCAGTTAATTTCCTGTTGATCAGATGTTTCACGTCTACCTGAAAATCTAGGCCCATATACAAAAACAAGTAACTTCATTTTAAAACACCAAATTTATACTATCCTTTTCAGGAGATGTTTTCTTATTTACTGTTTTTGTTTGTTTGTTATTTGTTTTTGTTTTTTGGAATGCAAAGCTTGCCACTGCAGTGTTTTTCTTTGATTGTTAATTTAATTTCTTTAATACAGTATGTCACTGAAGTCAGCAAGTCATTGGATGCTCTAACAGGACACTTAAAAATATACCATCCTCCTCATTCTGCATATTATTTGAGCAAAAAGTTCTCTCTTTGCTCACAGAAAGAAAACTTGACCTAGCTGCCCTTAGCTACTGTATCTGTTTTCCAAAGAAAACCCTTAGCACCTTCACAGATTTTTATAACTTATACAACTTATACAAAGCTGGCTTCAACTGTGTAATTTCACAATGAGTCAGTAATTTCCTTTTTAACACAATGCTAATTTCTGTTAGGTAAGGAACTTCCTGGAGACATAACCACCAAACACCAAACATCAAATGCTTTGACCTACTTGTGATGCTGAAAGAGCCCACTGACCTTTCAAAGTCTGCAGCTTGACATCTTTAAAAAAACATTTTAGAATGGAAACGGAGGTTGTACATGAGGCTTGCTTTTTGCTACCCGTTAAGATGTGTAACATCCGCACTCATTGAGAAACTGATTTTTCAGATAGCCCATGTGAGTGGGGGGGTGGGGGGAGGCCTTTTGTTTGAGAGTTTCTATAAAGTTAACGTTGCACAAACCAGAGCGCTATCATTAAGAAGAATGGAGTGTGTTTATATCAAATTAAGGTATAGTTGGTCAACTCCATCCCAAATTAACTGCAGAATTTAAGAGTGGTGAGCAAATCCTGTGATAACCTCTTTCTGCATATGTATAATGACAACCTGAGATGTGTGGGTTTTGTTTTGCACCTGAAATCCTAAGAAATATGATGTCCCAGTCTTTGAGTAGTCTTCCTGCTTTTTACAGGAAAAAAACAAAAGATTTTAAAAAATCCTAAAATACAGTCTCAACAGATTTACTATGCAGGATGTGTTTTTAATGGCCTATCTGTATATACAGTATAATATGAACATACACTGTATCGTCAATAACTTGGACTAGACAAGCCCATTGTGTATATTTTTTGTTAGTAGATCATTTTATGTTCTTTTTATTATCCCTGCAGTTTTCAAGAAATATAAAACTGCCATTTGTAGTAAGTCCCTTTTGAAAGAGGTTCTTAATGCTTCTCAAGTTCCTGCTTAGCAGGCTATACACAGGAAAAGTAATGCTGTAACGTAATGCAATGTAATTTCCATGATTAACGAATGTGCCATAAATATGTCCCTGTCTTAAAACAATTCATGGTTTTCAACTTCACCTGTGTATAATTACATTTTTTACCCTCCAAGGGTTCAAGAGAATGTTTTTCCACAGGCGGCCATGTTTATTCTGAAAATGCTCAGACCTAAGAGTCAGCAAATAATTCAGGTTAACCACTGGACAAAAACTTTGTATTATACATTTCCTATAAACCAGCCAGAGTCTAGTTTTGGGAATTATTACCACCAGCAGAAGCATTTCTCAGTCTGTAAAGTGTTCAGAAGAATTGTTATGATCAATACTCACTGTGTGCCACAGAAAAATCCAGAGACAGCAGCGCAGCCAACAGGCAGACCCAGCCTGCCGCTACCATGATTCTTGTCTGTGGGATTGAACAGGTTACATTTCTCAGTCATGGCTCATGTGCACACACATAAATAAGTTCTCTTGACAAATTTCCTGATGGGTCTCTGACTCGGAACAGGTTCCAGTAAGGGGAAGTGAGAAATGCACTTTGTTCTGCTTGTATAAGGAAGGCAGGGCTGAAACACTCCCAGTGAAGTCCCAGGAAGTTCCACTGATTGGTCTCTATTTGGAAAAGGTCAGACATTTGAAGAGGCTTGCTTTGTCTCTCTAACTTAATGAACCAAGAAATATTTATCCCCATTGGTGGTGTTCACCATCAAAGGATTGAAACACCACCAACGAGGATAAATATCTCTTGGTCAATGGCAGTCGGGCAGAACTGATGAAGCCTCTTGGATGAGAGGTGAAAAAACCAAGTCAAGTTGATGGTTTTTTGTTTGTTTGTTTTTTTCTACATTTTTTCAGCTTAGGACTGAATGTGTTTCATTTTTCTGCATGTCACGACCTTGGTAGTTATCAGCTCTAATAAGGTTTTTCTGCCTTGAATGCTCATCAGTCAAGGCAGTCTTTTTCTGTTTCAACCAGGCAAACCAGTTTTAATGTAAAGTGGCAACCCACAAAACAATGTAAAGCCACTGAGAATATCCGTGTATCATAGAGACACTTCCAGTCACTGTAATGAAACTGCTGAACACACTAATGCTCTGAGGTTTAATCAAATACATGTTGAACCCGAACTCTAAACTATAACTTGTTGCTTCAACTTAAAACGATGAGTGAATGGTTTGCCTTAAAACAAAATGTTATCTTCATCAAATATTGCACACTGTGTAAACTCTTGCAGTTGTTTGGTGGGTTTAGATTGGTTAATTTATTGGACTGTTGTGGTACAGAAGTTGTTTGAACTTAAAAATGAAAGTCGGCTTAATTAGAAAGGCTTGTTGTATAAACGTCTTGTCTTGGTAATTCTTTAAATATCCTTTTTAACACAATAAAGGTGGCCAGTTGTGTAAAGTTTGTCTCAGTTATAACTCTTCAAACTAAGAAAATGAGCCACAGTTCTGCATTTAACATGATGAACTTGCTCTCATTTGAGCCACTTTGTGCCAGTGTCAGTACAAAGACGGTATGTTAAGCTGCTCCCAGTGACCTCACTAAATCCTAAGTGTACATGGGTAGGGACTGAATTCAGCACTAACTTTGATCATGGTTCACATTGTTCTCATAATTATTGAAAGAAACAACCATGACTTGACTTAAAGATACTTGTTTCTATTATGAATATTTTCTTTGAACTGCAAAAAAAGTTTCTAGACAACTCCAAACAGTGCATACTGGGAACTCTGCAAATACTCTAGTTTTGTTTATTTATGAACTTAATGAGTTGTGTGAGCTTTCAGTTGTTAATTAATTCAACCTTTTAAGTCAAAAGACTTCAAGTTAGAACGACACGTTTAAATTCTCTTCAGAAGTCTTAAAATAAAAACTAGAAAGTTTTATGTTGAATTAACTTGAGAATATAATATTTAAATATTTATGTTAATAAAAAAAGTTGAGCCCACAAATTTCTATTTGGTGCTTTACAGTATACCTGTTATAAATTCAGAGCACAAAAGGAAATACAGAAGTACTGTGTGAAATTATAAGAAATATGCTGTAGAAAGAGTAAAAAATGAGTCAATCTGAAACAATACAAAATTACAATGAGACTGTGAACAGAAGCTAGATACCACAGATACTGTACGCTGTATTATAGAATAACCATAATCTTGTATTTAAACTCATGACCATATAAAGTACAGAGATGAGTTGCACCTGTAATTTGGATGATAATGTTGACTTACTAGGCAGAGACCTGAAGACGGCTGCTGGTTCCTTCTAATTAAATGTCTGAGGAGTTGCTGGGTTTTTCCTCTTATATGCCTTCATAACATGCTACAATGTTCTACTAACCCCTGCACAGAATTTCCTCTCAGAAGAAAAAAGTACCACTTGCTATGCAGTACAAATGCACCACAATGATTCACCCCCATCATTGGTTTAAATATAGGCCACCAGATCTCATTGGTTTTAGATATGAAAATCCCAATGTATGCTGTCCCAATAACCTTAAGGGTAACGATACAACTTAAAGCATGTGTCAATCTTCCACATGCTCTTCGAAGAAATTCCTAAAAAAATCACAGAAAATCTTTTTGAACTTCAAGCACATTTTAATGATACCAATACAATCTCTAATCAGCAAAGCCATAATGGACTTTAACATGTCAGACTGTCTTTCTCTCTATTCTAAGATTACATTTAAATCTGTCTCTGAATGACCAGAAAATTATCATTGAAGTTTAAACCATCATGATAAGCGGGTCCTGTTTTTGAAATTTAATGGATAGATGCTCCATCATTCAAGATTTTAGAGACAGCTGCTAAACTGTAACTTTTTAAACTCAAGAAATGATTTCATTATTTAGAGTATCCTTTACATATCCATGTTTGCTTTTGTTTGATCTCGTAAAACATTTTAACGCTAGAACCGCTAACAATGCAGTACCTCCTAGAACCGCCGGGAGGTCATTTTGACCTCGCACCACTTCAGGCTTTATAATTGCAAATTAGAAGTCTATTACAGGAATGTTTGGTCATTTTTTCAAAATAGCATGTAAAAATGTATGAAATAATAAAACATCAGAATTTTATTTCTTTTATTTTAGCAATATAAAAATATAAATTCACTTCAGTTAAACTATTAGTGGATACATGTAATAAAATATGAGAAATTGGTCAAACAGATAAAAACATTAACATTGCTTATAAACACTGAACATTACAATAATAACAGTCCATTGCTTTCATGAGAAATGAACATGAATTCAGA